AGAGAGAGAGAGAGAGAGAGAGAGAGAGAGAGAGAGAGAGAGAGAGAGAGAGAAAATGAGAGAGATTTTAATCCAGCCAATGAGGCTCTGGGTTTTGTGCACTCACCACTGTTTGTGTCACTTCTCTGTAGCCCTGATGTGGGCCAGGATCATCTGTGCCGTGGATGGGTTTGCTCGACACTGTTACCCCTACTTTAGAAACAAATCTCCTAGGGACACACCTTCTGCGATGCTTTACACGTTGTCTCCCCAATCCTTGCAGTCACCCAGTGGCCACGTGCTGCTGTTGTACTCGCTCTGGGGCTGCTGGCCAGGCACAGAGCACTGGAGCCTCTGAGCTGCTGCCCAAGTGCTGCGCACTCTTGGCTTCCTGCGGAGGAAGAGGACAGAGCTTTGGCTTTTGTGGTCTCGGGCAGCCAATGCCGAGTGTGCGCCAACGCTGGCATTTCTTCACAATCTGTGGAAATTGTCCAGCCAGTGACCCACCAGACGGGTGAGCTGAGCTTACAGGAAGAACCTGAGATGCAAGGCCCACAGTGTATAGCGATATCCCTGTGTTCACCTACATCTCCTTCCATTTCTTTCAGTCCTATTCTGTGATTTCCAGAATACGAGCCTGGAACTTCCTTTGATTCTGCTGCCAATTTTTTAAAATTCTGGTTGTTGCAATTAGAAGTGGAATTGATAGCACCCAGGAGCGCCTTTGGCTTTGTATCCTGGAACTTACTAAACTTCTACTTACTAAACATTTTAGCGTGTTCCCTATGATTTTCTGTATGTAACCACATCAACTACAAATAGGGACAATTTTACGTTTTTTCCTCCAGTCTGCATGCCTTCACTTTTTTTAATATCTTTTTACTGTTTTAATTTATCAATTTGTTTTTGGCTAATGTCTCTGTTTAGAACTTGTAGGGCAACGTCAAGCAGAAGCAGAGCCTGGCGCAGGGTTGCATGGCTGCGGTCTCAGCTCTTGGGGAGGCTGAGGCAGGAGTACAGTAGTCTTGGGAACTTAGTGACTTAGCAAGGCCTTGTCTTTAAATTAAAAAGGACAGGGTTGTAGCTCAGGGAAAGTCCCCAGTGCTGGCGAAAACCCATTCTTTCTTCACCACCATTCCTCAGGTAGCCCCTGACTCGATTTGGACTATTGGAATCGCCTCCTACCTGGTGCTTCCTCTCCTGCCTCTACCCACCCTGTGCCCTGCAGTCTCCTCTCCTTCCACGTGAGTGGGATACTACAGATGCCCATCTGCTCGGATCACCACTGTGCTCAGCACTGCCCAGTGAATGCCCATTTTTCAAGACCTAGGATAACCAGTAGGCATTTTCTGCACCTCAGACCCTGTCTACCTGCTACACTTCCACTAGAATGAGCTTCCTCCTGACCCCCCCCCCACCTAAAGTTTCTTATCACTGCAATTTTTTTTTAAATGTTTTTGGTATAACATCTACAGGGCCTACAGGGTCTCACTATATAGTTCAGACTCTTAGTGATTCTCCTGTTTTCAGCCTCCCAAGTGCTGGGATTATAGGCGCATGCCACCTCACCCAGTCTCAATTGCAATCTCAGTGGGTCCTGGGGGCAGGGCCAGCATGGCATTCTGGGATTGAATCCAGCCACTGTGCTCTACTTAAACAGGAGCTTTAGCCGGCTGAGCTACGTGGCTGGCCCATCACTGTAATTCTTAATATTCCCTGTGCATGCTTATTTTTCTTCCTTAGCATTTGTACTGTCTAACCTGCCACATGGTTATAGACATACATACACACATATGTGTACCTCATATATGTGCATGTATCTTATTTGTCCTGTTTATTCTTTCTCTTGTGCTCCCTGGAGCATAAGCTTGATGAAGGAATGCATTCCTGTTGTTTTTGTGGTTTTGTCAGCATAGATGCTGAGCGAATTCTTATTGAATGGAAGTATAAATGAAAAGTCACCACTGTCACAGGTGGTCCATGAATAAAGTGTGACAAAGAGAGGCCTTGTCAAAATTTGAAAACACACTGCCAGAGCACCTGGATGCAATGGTCAGTGTCCCCCAGGGTTGTCGTGGGCCTCCAGCTCACTGAAGGCCACTATAAGATGCCCAACTTTCTGTCCTTGCCAAGTCTGATGTCCAAACCTGGAAGATTCTGGGTAGGAATAAGAGAAGGAAGGTGATGGCCAGGACCCAGAGAATAGGGTCCCTTCCTGGGGGAAGCACCAGCGCTTCAGAGAGGCTCTCGCTGGTTCTGGGTGCGTGGCAGCCCTAGGAGCCAAGAGTGAGGGAGGCTTTGGTACCTAGCTGTGCCTCTGGTCCTGTGTAAGACCAAGAATTTCTTTCCTCATTCCTAAAACCCAAGGACTGGGGCTTGTCAGAGGCAGTCCTTGGTTTCCCCACACTGGACCCAGAGAACTGGGGAGTGGAGGGGCAGGGGAGGAGCTGCCCTGGGCCTGAGAGGGGACCACGGACACTTCTGTAGGTTTCAGGTCATCTGCATATGTGGATGCCTAGAGAAGATGACACTTCAGGGCACATCCCTCAAATCTTCAATGTTCTGTGCAAGCACCTTCCTCAAAGGGGGATTTTCATCCCACTTTGTCCCTAATCTAAGTCGCCAGGCTTTCAAAATTGTAGCAAGCATTGTCCACATTCTCTGCCACATTAACTCTTACCCAGAGTTGAGCTTATGATTGGAACCATGATAACAGCTTTCAGAGGCAGCTCTTGACTCATCCACCTCCTCAGAGGGCAGTTGACGGTAAGGTTGCTCAATTGGGACAATAGGTCACAAACGGAAAATCAAAGGGATCCTAGTCTCCTCTCCTTCAGCCACATGGAGTTTAGGGCTTGGTTTCTGTATCCTAACTGATGGGGGTATGTACACATTCAACTCAGACATCAAGCCATTAATCCTCTCTTCACTTCTTTTGACAGAGAAGATTGCTGTCAGCCTGTGCCAGTGAGAGCCCCATCAGGCAAGAGTGATGCTACTCACAGACAGAGTAACTGTCCAAAACAGCTTTCCATAGGAACTCCAGGCCAGAGCTGTAGGCCAGAGCTGAAGCTTCTCAGAGTACCAGTAAGAGACTGCCAGGAATGAGAGGGCAACCTAAGGAGTGGACTTCCACTGGGGCACAAGTTGAGGTGGTGGCTCCACAAGCTTATGTAAACTCCTTTATCTAAAATGCCCTTTGGGGCTGCAGGTGTAGCTCAGTGGCAGGGCACTTGCTGAATGTGTGCAAAGCCTTGGATTCATCTCCAGAGCGCTCACGCACACACATACACACACACACACATGCACGTGCGCGTGCAAACATACCCCCACACACGTACCTTTAAATGTGTAGTTCATGCCACACCAATCATACCTCAGTACATTGCTGGTTGGAATAAGTGCTAGGTGGGAAGGACCCCTCTCTGCATTTTCCACTTACTAGTGCTCTCTTTGCAAAGATAGGCCAGCTTAGCCTAGTGCCCAATGAAATGTCTTTAATCCTCCACAGTTATGCACAACCGTCTGTTATTTCACAATCAAGAGTGGATATACATTAGAAAAATGAGGGGCCGGCCTGATAGCTCAGTGGACTAAAGCGCCTGCTTAGGCAGAGCACAGCAGCTGGGGTTCGATTACCAGCATGCCATGCCGGCTCCACCCCCAGGGCATGCTGAGAATTCAGTTGAGACTGGGAATGGTGCCACGTACCTGTAATCCTAGTGCTTAGGAGGCTGAAAACAGGAGAATCACTACGAGTCTGATTTGTGTAAAGAGACCCTGTATCCCCTGTACTAAATGCATTGAAAAAAAAAGTGGATGTAAGAAATGACAACATAATATATATTGAATATCTTTTGCAAGAACAAAAGACAGACATCTGAGGTGGACAGAACCATGGTCCCCCCCAAAGACTCCCATATCCTGTCCCTGAAACCTGTCCAATGTTTTCTTCCACAGTCAAAAGAGAATTAAGGTGGCAGATGGAGTAAGGCTCCAAAGCAGGAGACCTCAAAACAGGGCACTTGTCAGGATTATCCAGGTAGGTGAGGGTGCCCAAAGTAGAGGAAGGAGATGGGACTGAGACAGCAAGCAGTGCCAAGATTTTGGAAGACAGTGACCCACCGCTGCTGCCCCTGCTAAGGAGGAAGTGATGAGTAGCCCAGGAATTCAGGCAACTTCCATGGCCTGGTGGCTTGCCATGAGAGCCACTCTAAGGGACATGCCCTTCTTGGTGCCACCAGTGTGATGCAGTCCACCCCATTTCAGACTCCTGGGCTCCAGAACTGTGAATCAGGAATCTGGGGTGCTCCCAGCCCCTGAGTCTATAATAGCTGCTAGCAGCAGCAATAGAAAGCTGCTGAACTGTCCGGGTTGTGTAAATGCTCATGGGCCCACGTGTCCACACATGTCCTGAAAACTTCCCAAGGACAAAGCAGTGTGTTGGGGACCTTCTCCCGAACAGGGTAGGAACAGAAGTGAGACGTGTGCCCGGTGCCCACAAATGTAGACAACAGAAACTGCAGAACGACGACGGAAAGAGGTGGCACCCAGGGAGGAACCAAAGCTGAGGGATTTTCAGTCCGCTTTGGCCAAAAGTAGTATCTCAGGTCCTGCTCTCCTCCTTTTCGCTTTATAAACTACCATATTTTGTGGTCCAGATTCAGGTAAGGATTGAGTCATCACGTCTCATCCTAGAAAAATGGGAGCTTGGGCTTCCGGCCCCTTCCGCCTGGGAAAACCAAGCCGAGCATTAGCAAACCTCAGCTGGAGCGCTGGCTTCAACCGGCCACAAGAGTGTGCCTGTGAGGTGACTGCGGGTTTTTTTTTTTTTTTTTTCTCCTGCCAAACCAGAATTAGCCGGTATAGGAACGAGCGAGCGTGGAGATTTGAAATTGCACGGATTGGAAGGAAGCTCGGGTGAGCCTCGCACACCTCCGAACGCACCCTTTCGAAAGGCACCAGGACGGGAGCAGCGAGCCTCAAACCGCGCCAAACGTCCACTTGGCCGGGCGGCGGGCGGTGGAGCAGCCCGGGAGCCCCGCGCCGTGCACGGAGCCGGGCCAAGAGCCGAGCCCGCCGGACACCGCGTCTGCAGGATGATCGGCGACATCTCGACGCGTCCCGACGCCCAGCCGCCCCGGAGGTTCCGAGCCGAGCACCGAGTTCGGCAGTCTGGGCCGGGAGCCGAGTGAGGCCCGAGCGCGGTGCGCTGCGGGCGGTGAGTACCCGAGGCTTCACCGCGCCGGGGCAGCTCGGAGCAGGGGCCGCAGGGGCCGCTGCCACGCGGGGACCCTCGGAGAGGGTGGGCACGCGCCCTAGGCTGGTCCAAAGGCCGCCGCGCCGATGCTGGGCTGCGCCAGGCGCCGTGGTCCCGAGAGGCCGCCGGCCAGTGACTCCTGAGCTGCGGCGGCGACCCGGGCCCGCGCGCGCCCC